GCCTGGGTTCCCTTGAGAAATGGTGGGTTTCCCCCTGCAGGTGGGCAGCATTCTAGCCTGCAAGGGGTCCTGCTTGAGGCTGTCAGAAGCAAGACACAGAGGATGCTGTGTGCATGTGCACTGTTGCATGCAAGCATGTGGCCAGGAAAACAGCCAGGCACTGTGGAGAGCAGCTCCCTGAAGGTAAGGAGTTGGGTGGAGGGCAGATTGAGGCCCCCATGGTGAGGGTGTGAGTGGGGTAGGGGCTGGGGACACAGCCTGGGTAGTGCATGGGATCTGGGGCCAGGGCAGGGAGCAGGACAGAGCCATGGGTGTGCAGGGGGGAAAGGGGGTTGCCCCCCATGTGCCCCTCTAGCTTTGTGCGCAGGGTAGATGTGGGCTGTGGGCTCAGGATGTTCCACTCTGCTACCTTCCCCTCGGGAGGCCCGCACCAGCCACGCACCCCTGCCCACCCAGCAGCAGTAGGGGCAGCGAGTTGTGTCTCCCACTGCCAGGTGGGCAGGAGGTGCCTAGGTGGCATGGGGCTCCCAGGGCAAGGGCAGCAGAGTGGAGAGACCCGAGCTTACAGCGGGCAGGCTGCATCTGCCCTTGCCTTGCTTGGCTCTGCCCCACTCCAGCTGTGGCAGGGGTGGGGGGGATGGGGAGCAGGTAGGAGAGGTGGGCATGTGCCACCCCACCCCCAGCCCAGCCACGTCCACCCAGCTGTCCCCATTGGACACAGAGACCCACCCCACCCTTGGCAGTGGCAACCCCAGGAACTGTATCATCCAAGCCAAGGCTTTGTCTACCCAGGTCTTAAAAAACTCCAAGGATGAAGAATCCACAACCTCTCTGGGTAACCTGTTCTAATACTTCACTACCCTCCTCATGAGAAAGTTGTTTCTAATATCTAACCTAAACTTCCCTTGCTGTAACTTGAGAACATTGCTCCTTGTTCTGTCATCTGTCACCACTGAGAACAGTCCTGCTCCATCCTCTTTTGAACCACCCTTCAAATAGCTGAAGGCTGCTATTACTTCCCTTCTCAGTCTTCTCTAGACTATGTAAACCCAGTTCCCTCAGCCTCTCCTTATAAGTCACGTCCCCCAGTCCCCTAACCATTTCTGTTGCCTTCCCAGTGGGCTCTCTCCAATTTGTCCACATCCTGTCTGCAGTGGGGGGCCTAAAACTGAACACAATATTCCAGATGTGGCCTCACCAGTGCTAAATAGAGGGGAATAATTAGTTCCTTTGATCTGCTGGCAACACACCTACCAATGCAGGCCAGTATGCCGTTAGCCTTCTTGGCCACAAGGGCACACTGCTGGCTCATATTTAGCTTACTGTCCACTGTAACCCCCAGATCCTTTTTTGCAGAGCTGCTGCTTAGTCAGTCAAACCCCAGTCTGTGCCGGTGCATGGGATTGTTCTATCCTAAGTGCAGGACTTTGCACTTGTCCTTAGTGAACCTCCAGAGATTGTTTTGGGTTCAATCCTCCAATTTGTCTGGGTCTCTCTGAATCCTAGCTTTACACTCCAGCATATCTATTACTCCCCCCAAGCTTGGTGAAATGCTACATTTCAGACCTTTTAATGATAAGAGAAAACTGTACAAGTATTTTGATTAGAGTAAGGCCACTGACAGACAGTTATAGGTGCAATGGGATCATGATGCCATTGTTCGTTTCAGCTACGATGATGTCCAGGTACAGCTGTCTTTTGCAGCCTTGGGCTGGTTTGGTTGATGGACATGGTCCCAGCTGAGGCTGGTGTGGAGTTTTCAGGCACATAACCAATAGGGAAGGGCCTCTGATTCATAGCTGCATCTTTGGCACCTCCTGCCATGGTTCCCATACTGGACAGCACCTTTGAACGGCAGACCAGTTGAGCCAGGTGAGCTTGGAGATCTTACCCCAGTTGGGTTTTGCCTTCAAGTCACCAGTGTGTACTTGGCTCAAATGGCATCCAGTAGGAACATTTCTAGGCAGATCCTCAGGCATGGGGTCATGGTGATGTGGCTGGCATTGAGGGTTGGGAGCAACAAGACTACCACTTGTGGGTGCTCCTTGGATCAGGTCGAGGAACAGCCAGTGCACTTCCTGAGGTGGTGCATGGCATTGTGGGCTTGGCTCCACAGCGAGATAAAGTTCCCACCACCTCTACTGAACTGTTTGTTATGCTGCTCAGGAAGGTGGCCAGGTTTCTGCCAGTGGGCTGCCTGGCAGTCTTCCTGTGGGTGGTGTCCCTCAGGGGCTGGTGGTAGAGCCACTTAGGAAAACAGGATCTTCCTGTGCCATTGGACCAAGTCCTTTCCTAACACAGTTAACTACATTGTAGAATCCCTTTTATAAATTGACTGAGTTATATTTATCTTACGACAGTTCTCTGAAAACTGAATTAAGAAATAAACTTTGGCCCAGTAGATTTACTCATATAGGAATAAGAAAATGGTAAACCATTACTTGTGCTTTTGAAATCAGGAAGAGGTGGGGCATTGAGTCAATTGGTAAAACACCTGCTCAGCCACTTCAGTCATCTCAGATACAGTAAATAAGTTTCAAGAGCACTCCCAAGGTGTGGCATCCAGTGCTCAGATATCTGTAACCTTCCAGAGGTGTGAGAGTAAGGCAGCCATGGGATCCTCAGCCAATTCACCCTTGGTAAGAATAATATTATTCCATTGTCCTGAGATGTAGTAAAGCATAGGCATTGAGAGTTTTGCTTTAAATATTGAGAAAGTTTATGAAAGGCAGCTTTGTAAATAAGCAGACCTAGCAGGGAATAATCTTTAACCCTCTGCCATTTTTGTACCTCCTTTGTACCCAGAAAGGGTACTGGTAGTTAGAAGAGTGCAAATTAGAAGGTGGCCTGGTGCAAGGGAGGAATAGCTTCACTTTTGGGGGATTAATGAAGTATTTATGCAAATATTGGTTTCAACACAAAACATTACAATTTTGAATTCAAATGAAAACTGAAAGGGAATGCATATTGGCTGGTATGATTATTAGCCATTCTTACTGCTTTCTTTCCAGATCCTGCACACCCAGACAAATCCATCTGAAAAGGTGGCAACTAAGTGGGGACATTATGTGATGCCACGTAGCCCTGAATATAAGGTACTAAACAATAGACATAATTTATGAGCTATTGGTGGGAGATGAAGAGTGCTAGGGCTTCCTGGAATCAATCCCTCACCAGCCATCTCTCTTCTAGGCTTTTGTTTTATTACTATGGGAATGATCATTTTCAGAAGTTAGAGAACAGAAATGTGGATTTTTTGTGGATGGATTGTTTACATTGGCATAACATAATCAATATGGCGTGGAGATTCAGAATAGGAAGAAGGGGATAATCTTGCTAAATTAGGAATTGTGATATCTAGCCTGTAGGTACACATCAAGCTTTTACTGGATCTGTCCCTTGGCGTGGGGAAAATAAAATGAAAACTTCAGGTACTAAAGGTACCTGACCAATTTTAAAAGTCATTTAACAGTCTGTCGGGTGGTCTCCAGGCATGGGATCTCCATGGACTAAAAACTAATCAGGTTTTTGTGGGCAAGCATTCCTCTTGGCTGGCACTGTCTATTTTTTAAGGTGAAACAATGCTTATGAGAATTATTGAAAATATAGAATAGGCGACATGACTAATTCATGTTACCATCCACCTGGTTGCCAAATTTTGGTTTTGATACAGAAAATAAAAGCTTTAAAATATGAAATTATTTTCTCTCTGGGTGCTCTATGTCCTAGATCACCCAGAGAGAAAATATTGGGTGTATTTTTACAGCATAGAAAAATTATTTTCTTGGATTAAGACCTTATACTCGCACCATTTCCTTGAGGACTTCTAAAAAATGTTAATTTCTTTTAATGTAATTCATACAATGCACACAAACAGCAACCTATTTCAAGACCTTTATTGAAGGGTAAAATGTATCCGTACCAGTTCTTAAAAAGTATGACACAGAACATATTCTAACAATGTACATACTTATTAATACTACTAATTTAAGAGAACTCAAATGGTTGAGATCCTTAAATAATTACATTTTATGGATCCCTTAGATGTTAGATAGAAAGTACCATAAAAGTACAAGAGATTATTTTAGTAAAGCTATTTCTATCACTAACAGTTCATTCAATTATTATGTTAGGAGGGAATAAATCACTGCATATTCAGCATGACATTTGTACCAACATCTCATCAAAGTCCACTGTCATAAGAATTATGGCTTTAAAATACATTGCAAGTTACAAAAGCTAGACAGTATGCTATATTTACTGACCAGCTGACTTAATTTAAGGCCACCAGATTCAAAGTCACTATAATTTAAGTACTGTATCAGATTTATGGCTAATATAATCTAAGTATTCAGATCAAATGAATAATGAAGAAATAAGTCTGCTACATAACACAACTATGGCAGAGCCTGAACAGGAAAAGCTTATATTATATAAGGATGAATAAAGCACCATTTCCTACTAGTTAAGTATCATTTGGATCATGGTAGTAGAGAAAGGCCCCATACAGGTTCAAGATCTTAACATGCTAGAAGCTGTACAAACATATAGGAGGAAACTATTTGTGCCTAAAAATGTAATGATCACAAGTGGTACATAAGGTATTTGTAATAACTAATGGCTTACATGGTAGGATTTCATCAGGGGGACAGCAGGGCAGCTCATCACCTGCGGCAACCACAATTCGTGAGGCAGCATAAAGCGCTATCATATTGATTGTGGTGGTGGCGGCTATGTTTGTGCCTCCCTCTCTTACTTGAGCTGGTCATTGCTGCCCTTATTGCTCCCCTTCAGGTTTGCTTTTGAATTTGGTTGCACTTTATTTATTACTAAATGAAACTTCAGAGCAACCTATGAAGTCTGCTCTATAACTATACAGACAGTTCAATAAAAAATGTCACCAACCTCCCTTTCTCTCTTGCATCTCAAATATTTTCAGGAATTTCCTGGATACAGCAACATTACAACCATTTTGAGCCTTACCATGTTGACATACTAGGTTTGCCTTTGCCTTCATAGTCCCCTTTTTGTTCTGTGTATGCTTGACTTCTGAGACTCTGGTGTTATGTTTTAAGGAACATGCTTGCGTCCTTTTAGGCTTAGAATTCCTTGACTTTGACCTTTAGACCCTTTTTGAAAAATCATCTTTCTTTGAAATCTCCCCTTCTAAAGTTTCATGTGACTACGTTACTTTTGGTGTGAAAAAGTGAATGTTGAATCTATTTTGAGAGATGTAGTTAGCTGTGTTAATCTTAAGTCAGGCAGAAGGCAGGGCAGGGTAGCACCTTAAAGACTGACCAGTTCAGAGAGGCCTGAGCTTTCTTTGGTGATAGGTTATTTCCTCAGATGCTATGCAAAGACTTGCAGAAAAGCTGGTGTTTTAAATAGAACGGAATTTAAACACAAAGGATTTGAAGAGGGGGTACTGCTGAGACAGCTGAAGGTAGGTTGAATAAGTCAGTAGGGATAAATAAGGCAGTTAACCCATTGAGGGACATGGGGGTTATAAAAGCTAGTCTAGGTATTGGGGTAAGAATCTATTGGAAAAAAAATTTGGGTTTTTTGGGTATAAATATAGGTGCAGCAAGGATTGTTCCTTTGTATTGACTTGGGGGAACATAATTTATTCATGGCATTGCTATCATTGTCTCAGGCAGTTCTACTGAGTTGGGCGAATTGCTAAATAGACCAGCTAGTGTACTGTTAAAGTGACAAACCTCTCTGAGCCTTCCACCACTGAACATGAATTTGAGTCTTTTTTTTCTTTTCTGCATTGCACCTGAGTTTCAGGAGGCTGCTTGCTAGCAGTGGCCTCCTGGAGCACACAGATCCAAGTAGCCTGAACACTGAGAATGGCAGAGAGCAAGAGGCTACCTGAACACATGCCCCCAGAACAGCAGAGACCATGCTGAATACAAGCATGTGGATGATTTCTTCTTCCACATTTGAGTTGGTTTTAAAAGTTTTGTTTTTTAAGAACAGCTTTTCTGAGGGCAGTGATGGAAGACCCAGGGTGGGCAAAATGTTCTGCCATGGGCTTTTTGTGTATTTTTGGAATTGATGTCAGATCAGTGTTCATTCATTCTTTCACACAGCATCATCCCATCTGCCCAATGTAGGCAGGGGAGGGGCACTGTAAGGAGGTGATGGTTTGGGAACGACAGAATTGTTAAAGCCTTAAGCCTCAGGCTTATTCAGTACTTGCACTGAAGCAAATCTCTTTCAACCTAGCTGTCATACTTACTTGGTTACTTGCACTGGGAACATAAAGGTAGAGTTGTGAACTGTCCATGAATTTATGGTCAGATTGTAAAAAACAATCCCAAAAATGCCTGTCCATAAAGTCAGTAAAAGAAAAAAAAATAAGTTGTCTGGAAAAAAATACTAAGCAACTGGACCTTAACTGAAAATCCATCTCAGAGGCAAATACTGAAGGACAGGCAGAGCAGAGTAGTGTCATCTGGTATCAGAGCAGCAGCACAGCACCTTGGGGCAAGTCACTTCAACAGTCTTGAAGGCATGTCCAACTGTACTCTTTACATCCTTACCCTTTATTATATTTACTTAATCTTGTATATAAGCATGCTTTATGACAATTTTATCGTGTCCATTGACTTAAATTTTACCTTTACTCACCCCCACATTCATGTTTCACTTATGCTAATACAAGGTAATAATTTGTTGCATCTTTTCTGCCTGACATCAGGGTTAAAAACGTCAGCTTTGCTTTAGCCATTACAAAGCTTGCTAATTTTGTACCGTGGCTGCCTGTGCAACTTGTTGATAACCTCAGCTCTTTTTCTTGTGGAATACAATAGTGTGGCGGAGGGTTTAATGGCTCTAATAATAATAAAAAATATATTGTTGGCCACAGTATGTGGTGTTTCTTAATCAGGCTAGCTCAGTGAGTCTTCTACAACTAGTTGTATGTGAAAGGTTCTAATAATTGCAGGACAATTTAACCTGTTTTTGCTTTTATATGTCATACATTTGCATAATTATAGTCTTTTATTCTTGACCAGATATCTGTTTGTAATTTCTTTCTCCATTACACTGATAAATTTACAGATTTTTTTTCTCGGTTCTAATCCTGTTATGCCACTAATTCAGGTTTGACATACCTCTTACTCTTATATTAGAATATACAAAGATACTATTTCTTACAAACACCTTTAATGTATTTCTCTGTCTGACTTATGTGCTTCTCAGTCCTGTTGGCTTTCCCCCTAGTTTTTAGGACCCCAGACCCTTATTTAAGTGATATTCTGGCACTGTTCCATTTTGATTAAAGCAGCTTTCTCTAAGATGTTTCACAGTTTCTAAGAAATTTAAACCCCATTCATTACATCATCTTAACCAACCGTGTACTGAAACCCTGAAGTTACTATGCTTAGCTGGATCTGTAGATGGACAGGAAACATTTCAGAGGATACTACCACTGGGGCTTTGTATATGACATTTCTTCCTAGTAGATTAAATCTAGCTTCTAGGACTTACATCATTGGAACAACTTTGGAATTCCTTACTGAAGAATTAAGATTTACCATGTGATTTTTCATGGCTCCTATGTACTTTCAGGGACTCTATAAAATGACATTTGGAAATCCTGAATTCAGTTTGGACCCGAGCAGTGATATCTTAGACCAGGGCAGTGCAAATCCTTCCAAATTTGGTTAGTAATTACTTTGTGTGTTTTTCAGTTACACTGTGTTTACAAAGGCTGGACCCAGGAGAGTTTGCTTAAAGGATTGTGGTCATTGAAATAAAAATGGTAATAACAAAAGCTGGCTTGGAAGTTTCAGCTCAGTAAATTTCACAGGACTTTGTGAACCCATATGTGGAGTGGGAGAGCAGTTACGTTGAATAATTTTCTTTTGTAAATTGAAGTTATTTAGACAAAGAAGAAGATAAGAGTTTTAGCTAGAATAGGAGATAGGGGAGAGATTTTTAAAAGCAATTTATGCTGAGCATAAGCTTTACATGCTTTATGAATTGTTGAGGAGATACTGAGACTGCATTCAACATTATAATAGAGGCAGACAGGACATAATGATGTCAAGGGATGACACCATTTCACCCTTTATATGGAACCCTGCAAAGGATTTCCAGCATTTCAGTGAAACCTATGTTGGTAAGGGCCTGGGTACTTTTGAAAATCTCCACCCATATTGTGTGGTATTGAAGCTGTTAATTTCAATGGAGTACAAACATATGTATTACAGCAGTGAAGTAAGTTATAATTGTGATAGTCTTAGAGACATGGGTAATAAAATGATCCCATGTAAGAAATATCATATTGTGATACAATAGATGCTGTACCGACATTTGTTCCATCAGCTACATGTGAGTGGTAGAAATTATTTGCTGTGTTAATGTGTCTCAGAACTGAGAGGAAGACAACAGAAAGCTGGAGTGAAGTCTAGGTACATGTCAAGAAATCAGTTTTCTCTGCATCCAGGGGGCAAAAAAAGCAATCTACAGGCTGTTGCAGCAGACAATGAGGCCATTTTCTTTCTTTTTTTTCTTTGCATTTGCATCAGAAACTTTAGAAAGAAAAGGAAAAGTACCAAACTAAAAAACAAACAAACAAGGAAAAACAGCTATAAAGTCTTGTCACTTCTATTTCTTAAGTATGTGAAACTTATTTCCAAAACCCTACAGTTGTGGAAAGAAGAGTGCTTTTATAATTAAGGCACTGGATTAGAACTCAGGAGATGACTATTTCTTAGCTTTCAATAGACATCCGAGGGGACTCTGGGCAAGCAACTTAAATCTCTCTTATGGCTCAGTTCTTTCTCTGTAAAATAGGGACAATAGAAATTCCTTTCTCCTTCCAATTATCTGGTCTTCTTTATTTAGACTGAGGGATCTTCAGAGGATGTATTTTTTCTCATTGAATGTTTGAACACTGCTTAATGGAGTGGGGCCTTGATATCAATTGGAGTTGATAGGCGATACCTTAATATAAATAATAACTAATGCTGAAAGACACTTGCCTTATTGCAAAGTTAGAAGTCAGCCATTTTATCTGAGACTATGGCAACCTGTGGATTTTACCCAGAATCAGCTTAAAGATAGAACCTCCCAGTGAGTTTAGCTTTGATATGCTGGGCTTAAAACTCAGAAACAAAGCAAAGTGAACATGTATGTGCATGCACATGTATATGTATGCACACATGCATGTACTCAGAGGGGCAAACAAAACATCTGGTGGTACATGAATCCACATGATTTAAAATGGTAGAAATGGTTGGCAGGGATTCTCTCAAACTAAGATTGCCTTGCATTGCAGAACTGTATAAATGATGCTGTTAACCCATGAATAAGTGCTCAGATGATGACCCATAATGTGAGGGAGAAGGCAAAAGGGCAGCTATCCTTAATCAAGGAAGAAGCATGTTATTTTCATCCATTTTCTATTCAACACACTGGAAAATGGTGGGCTCTGATCAGCTGTCCTCCACCTGAGAGTTGAGAAGACAATCCTATTGACCTTGTACAGACATTCAGTTTCTCCTGGGAGTTTCTGGTCTCTCAGGAGAAGCCACAAATGTATAGATGTTCAGGCTTTTTCTCCCAAAATAAAAATGGCTTCTCCAGGAAAAAAATAACCTGGGAAACAGCCAGAGTTTCTCCTGGGAGATCAAATGTCTGTACGTGTTGTGGCTCATCTCAGAAGAAAACACAGTCTTCTAACATCTCCCCCATCCCCTCCAAGGGGCCAGTGTTTTGCTGGACTCTGCTACTCCAGCAGGGAGCAGAACATGCCACCTTTAGAATCCCCATATTGTGCTGCAGGGAAACACAGCCTGACCATGGGTAATCTGGGTCAGGCAATCAGGGCTGCCCTATGCACTGATTGCCTGGTGACAGGCAGCAGGCCTGTCACCAGGCAGACTGAAGAAGCCTGCAGAGTATGTGGAGATGTGTGAACAGCCCTTTCCCCTCACCCCCCGCTGTACAGTGTCGGCACTGCAAGGTCTCTACTTTTCAGGGCCTCGGCAATCAAATATCTGTACACATAGCTCTGAGCAAGTTTCTCTACCAGGAGAACAAACCTGGGAGAATTTTCATGTGTATGCAGTTATAGTGTTCACTGCAAGCAGCTGGATTTTACAAAGTTGATATTTTGCTTTTCTTGAAATAATACTTTTTAGGTATTTTTTTCTATTCCTTTAGGAATTGCAATAAAAAAATAACCTCTTCAAATGAAATTGATGTAAAAAATCCAATCATATTAAAAACATAGCTAAACAGGAAGAGGGAACATGAGATTTTGATTGTCAGTAATCATAGGATGCTGTCTAGGCATGAGGAAGTATTTCAGTACAAAAATTACAGTGAAGCTCATCTATGGAATATTTTTATTTGCACTGATTGCTTACTATGCTAACTATATTTTTTAGATATTTATTTTTTCTCTCTCTTCATGTCTGCTATGTAATGAAATACACAGAGTTAATTATCTCCATATTTCCCTAGTCATCATTTTTTTCCATTGGCTTGCAGCAAGAAGGAACACCATTGTGCTTGCTCACTGTGAAAGTTGTCAGGATGAGAAATCTCCGTAAGGCAGATTGTTGTGAGTATTTCTGCTCTTCCTACAGCTTTCTTATATTTCTGAAACTATTCAAACTACAATTGATTATCAATTGGTTATCAGTTATTACATGTAGTCTGAATTGTTGTTAGTTTCTCTGTATTATACCTTATTATAAAGATTTTTATAAAGTAACACCTTATAAAGATGTTTTTGGGTGGATAGGGGGTATATATCTATATTACATATTTTGAAATATGAAGAAGGTAAGACTAAGTCAGGCAGAAGGTAATGTAAGGTGTGGCACTTTAGGCCATGTCCAGATGAGTGTGGCCGTGTGGTGTATAGCACTGCAGACCCATCTGCAGCACCACAAGTTCATGTGTTCTCCATGCTGCAAGGTAGCAGTGCAAGGGTTTTTTTTGACCCTGGTGTAAAAAAAATCCATGCAAAAAAAGTGGGGTGGTGCATATGGGGACAGTGTGCACTGCCCAGAGCCAGAGCCTGCTCTGTCAGAGCCACACTCCAGCTGCTGACCAGGGCTCTGGTGGCAGGATTGCCATGGCTGCAGCTCCCTGAGGCTCCCAGACCCCAGGTAAGTCTTCTGGGGCCAGTACAGTTTCTGGCCCTAGCCTCCCCTACCCCACCCAGTGTAACCTGCCATGTGTTAGAGGCTATGTGGCAGAGGCATTCCCTGGGGACAAGTAGCATAAGGTGTGCCACTGATTCTTGTCCCCAGGGGAACAAACATCTATGCTCGTGTGGATGTGGCCTTAGAGACTAACTGGTTCACAGCTGGCATAAGTTTCTAAAACTTTATGCCAATTTTGAACCAGATAGTCTCTAAGGTGCCATAGGGCACGTATGCATGAGCAGAGAGGCTGCTCTGATACGCTGTAATTACAGCACGGTAATTACCACACTCCAGTAGCCTCTGCCATTTCATGTATCAGCATCCCCACATTTCAAAATGGAGGTGGGGGTGTTTTATCTAAAGCTCATTCAGCAAGCTTTATAAATAGCACCCCTGCTACCATTTGGAAGTGCAGGGATGCTGATACACAAGATGCTCTGGGCACTTTTATTAGAGTGGCTCTTGGAGCTGTTCTAATTAAAGCACCCCCCTCCCCCCAGCAGACACTCCTGGAGCACATGTATAAATGCCCTAAGATGTCACCTTGCCCTACTTTCTGATTGACTTCAGACTAACAGGCCAAACCACCTCTATTATTTTAGATTACCAGTAGTTGAGAAAACAAACAGCAATTTTAATAAGAAAGAAAATTACTTCCTCCCCCTCCCTTTTTTAACAAGAAAGAGTATCCTTTCTCTCAATTTCAGAAGCAACAACTCTCTCAATTGGCCAGCTTCCCACACTGCCATTCCTCTCTGGGTAGGATGCATGTTTGAAGGTGCTGTGAGAAACCAGTTGCTGTACTCTTTTTTTTTTCCCGTTTCTCTTGTGTATTTGTCTTTTCATTACTATTAATCTCAGTATTACGTTTACAACTAGTAAATTGTTTTTAAAATTATTTTTGGTAAAGAGTCAATTTGTTGAGAAATACACTTTTGGGAGCTGGAAACTAGGGCTGTGCGAAGCTTTGCTGGCTGTTTCGTTTTGATGCTGTTTTGACTCATTTTGAGCTTGAAATGGTGAAATCAAAAGAAAATGAAGAGCGTTGAAACAGCCTTGAAATGAAACAAGGGCAGTTAAAACGTTTCAAATTTCAAAGCAGCCAGGTAGTGGGAGGCAGGGAGAGCCAGGGCTGCGCTCCGAGCTGCTCTGGAGCCCTATGTGGCTCAGCCCAGCAGGGAGCACAGCCCTGGCTCTCCCTGCCTCCCATCGCTGGGCTGCGCTCTGTGGGGCTGGCGGAGCTGATGGGAACGCAGCACTGGCTCTGCCCACTGCCTGCTACTGGGCTGTGCTCCGATTGGCTTTGCTAGCCCCATGGAGCTCAGCCCAGTGCCGGAAGGCGGGCAAAACTGGTGCTGCGCTACACCTCCCGCCACTGGACTGAGTTCCACGGGGCTGCGAGCTGCTGGGAGCTGAGCCTGGTGGAGGGAGGCAGAGCTCAGCACCAGGGTTGCACTCTGATTCCCCTCACTGGGCTCAGGTCCACGGGGCTGCAAGCCTCTGGGAGCTGAGCCTGGTGGAGTGAAGCGGAGTGCATCCCCAATGCTACGCTGAGATCTTCCCCACCGGGCTGAGTTCCACAGGGTGTGACCTGCTGGGAGCTGAGCCTGGTGGAGGGAGGTGGAGCTCAGCACTGGGGCCCTACTCCGCATCCCTCCACTGGGCTCAGCTCCATGGAGCTGTGCTGGGTGCGGGCTGCGCCCAGCATCGGTCCCAGGTGGCAGCAGCTGCCTCCCGCCCGCACCCATGGGAGGGCTGTGGGGCTCTGCTGGGCTCCTCCTGTGGGTGCGGGCCCTTGATATGCCTGCCAGATCGCAGGACTCTGTTTCTGCTGCCTGGCACTGGCGCTGGGTGCAGCCCGCACCCAGCACCGGGAAGATTGGTGCTGCCACTGGCTCTAGGCGGCAGAAGCAGTCTCCCGTGATCTGGCAGGCAGATCGGGGCCCGTACCCCCAGGAGGAGTCCAGCAGGGCCCTCCCAGCCCTCCCAGGGGTGCGGCTAGGCCCCCGATTTGCCTTTCGGATGACAGAAGGCTGGTTCTGCATCCTGGGGCCAGCGGCACCACCAGTCTTCCCAGAGCTGGGTGCGGGCTGTGACCAGCACCATCCCAGGCGGCAGGAGCAGCCTCCTGTGATCTTACAGGCAGATAGGGGCCCACCCACACCCCCGGGAGGAGTCCAGCAGAGCCTCACAGCCCTCCTGGAGGTGCAGGCCCCCAATCTGCCTGCTGGATCGCAGGAGGCTGCTCCTGCTCCCCAGCTCCTGCTTGTCACCCTGCTGAGGTGCAGTTTCCCAGAAACCTCTGCATCTATCTCTTTGAAACTTGGCAGGCTTCATGCCTTCAGAAGAGGCTACCATCTCTGTACGTTTCATCCAAATCAGGCAAGAAATGGCAAAGTTATAGGCAGCTTTGTTCTTCCCCGTTATAGCTTACAGGCAAAACGTCAAAATAATCTCGAAACAGCAAAATAGTTCAGAAGAAATGAAACAGATCAGTGCTTTCAAAATTAAATGAAATGAAACAAAATGAAACTCGAAATGAAGCACTGTTCCATCAAAATGTTGAAACTGTAGTCAAGGTGGAATGGTGCTGTTTTGCACAGCCCTGCTGGAAACTGCAGAAACTTTGATGGAATCCAACAAATCATTTAGCCTGAAATAAATGTTTAAAAAAATCACAAAACTATTTCATTTAAATATTTTCAATATATTCAAAACAACATTTTCAAAGGGAAATATTTTAAAAGGGCAGCAGCTGGTATATTCTAATTGTTGTGTGAACCAGCTGAGAAATGGAGCAGGTTTGCTGCATTTGGATCATTGTCAGGTTGTTCACGCATAACAATTAGACTGGTACTAGCTTCAGCCCTTTTGAGGGGGCTACATGCACATTCCTGTGCCCACACCCTAAATGTTTTGTTTAAGTTGAACACTATTTTTGAGTCTATTGCAAATAATATTTTTTCAGTTAGGTAACTGAAATGAAAAGCTCAATATTCACAAAGCTAATTGCTACACACCTTTTTTATACAGTGAGCCAAACTGATTGTTATGTGTGCCTGTGGCTACCAACAGCTTCTGCTGAGGAAGCCCGGACTAGAACTATCTTTAACTGCAAAAACCCTATCTGGAATGAGACTTTCTACTTCATAGTACAAAGACAAGTCAAGGTAAGACCAGCAGCTTCCCTCCTGTCAGCACTTGGAGGATCTCCATAGCAGGCCTCTTGATATCACCTGAGTCAGGAGTTCCAGATGTTCTGCACCCTGCATTTCATACTACTTGCACTAACTAAGTGCCCTAAAAACTTAAAATCATACCATACCATCAGTGTTTGGCTGCTGAGTACCTGGTTTCATTTGAAACACAAAAATGGTGGGAGTCTTCTCAGGGTCACCCAGAGCATCTTTAGCTTCACGTGTTAAGCATTTTGCTACTAACCCCTTCCCACCTACATGCTTTTACATTCCTCTTTCTGCAGCAACAATAAGCTGACTGTTCAGTATGGTCATACATAGTGCTATTACTTGGGTTACCATATTTCCAGGTCCAAAAAAGAGGACATCTGTCACGGGATGGGATGGGGCAGGGGTGGTGGGGAGGGAGGAGGAATATGGTGGTGGGGACTGGCAGTGATATGCTGGTGTCCTGCCCCTGCCCATTCTGTTGCCCTTCACTGACAAGCCACATGCCCCCCAGCCCTGCTGCTGCCCCTCACTCTGGACCCACTGACCCCAACCCTGCCAGAGCCCCTTACTCCAAGACAGCAGTACCCTGCTCCCACCCCTTGCTGGTGCCCTTCACTCCTGACCTGCAGCCCCATGGTGCTGCCAGTGCCCTGCACGTCCAGCCCACAGTCACCCATCCTGTACCCCATGCCCCTCACTCCTGACCCACAGCCCCTGCCCCCTAGTGCTGTCGGTGCCCCTCACTCCTGACCCACAGCCCCCTACCCCCCATCTCTGCTGCCCAAGCAGCTTCCACATTGCGCGTGTGCCCTCTCTCTCTCTCTCTCTCTCTCTCTCTCTCTCTTCCTTGCCAGAGCCCCCGTGGGGACCATGTGACTCCCCCAACATCCAATCAGCTTGCCTGCTTCTCCCAGTCCCAAGCAGCCAGCCTGGGAAAGCAGAAAACCCAGACATTTCCTCTTATTTTTAAAACCTGCCCGGATGCAGCACAGAGGTCCAAAAAAGAGGACATGTTTGGGAAAACTTGGACGTATGGTAACCCTAGCTGTTACAGTAATTGTGGGGAAGGATGAGTGGGGGAGAAGATGCAAACAGTATACCTCCAACCTCTACATCCAGCTCGAGCCCCACACTTACCTTTCAGTCAATGTGGTTCCCTCCCCCAACCACATTACACTCAACCAGTATAGCTAATGTCTAGGAAAGAGTTCTTGCTGCACTTTTTGGCTAGCTGCTGTGCTGCCTTCCATAACCTGCATCCATATCCATCCATCATTATTACCATGTCCCCATGACAAAGATTGCTTTGCATTTGAAAGCTTGTCTAATTTTATCCCTACTACATAGTTGGTCCAATAAAAAAAAATCACCCTGAGAAATTCTTGCTTCCCACATAGTTTCTGGAGCCTCACAGCTACAGCATCACTCTTACACTACCAAGGAATAAATTATGGTAACATTGTTTGCAGTGACAGAAGGTATAAATTTAAAAAAATATTCACGATGAATATCATCATGTGGAACGAACTATAGCTTTAGCTAGTCTGAGAAGTATAATACTAAGGAAAAGCACTTGGAAGTATAATATGAAACAGGAGGATTACAGCCTCTCAATTCAAATTGTGTTTGCCTAGGAAAGCCAGGGGACTGGACTTTAGCTAGGAGGTCCGTTTCAGTCCTATGCTCCTATGACTGCACAGTGGCTCACTGCATGGACCTTAGCTATCCAGAACGGTTCTTTTTTGGTTGCACCCAGTTTCTACTTTTCAAACTGGCTGGTACAGTTGTGACTGCCTCAAGTCAATGACATCACTACTATTGGTGAACTGTCATAATGCAGGAATTTAAATGAGACATATTTATAATTTATATGCAGAACAGTTGTTTGTTTTGCTCTTCAGGAGTGTGAAGAAACCACATAGACCCAGTTGCTTATGGACACCACAAAAACACTGAAAGCCTAGCTATTTTCATATGGTTTTTCTTATTGGTTTCTGGCAACTTCTAAGTAACAGGACATTGAGCAAATCACTAAAGCAGTGGTTTTCAACCTTTTTGGACTCAAGACACCCTCATTAGACTCGAGGCGGTTCTCCAGAAATTTTGTAAATTGGGTGGCATCTGATTTCAAAAAGTAATTTATATATTACAGTGCTTGCCTCCTTGCAGAGAGGCCAGGCAGTAGGGGTGGGGGGTTGACCAGACAGGGACAAGCCTGAACCTGTGCTTACCTGCCTGTCTCCTCGCACCTTGCTTATCTCATCGTACCTCAGGCACCCTTCAAAGGATCTTGGCCATTGCAGTGGAGGGCTTACAAATTATTTTGAGGGATATTACCTTACTCCTTACATAGTGGGGTCTCACTTTTCCTCATATCACAGTTTATCAGCATGAAGTTGAAATATTTGTATTATTCACTCATGACTAGCAAGCTTGCTTGTGAAGTATGAAGATCACTGTAATTAGGGTGACCTTATATCCTGGTTTGGCTGGGACAGTCCCAGATTTTGGAGGCCTGTCCTGGCTGGCAGGTGAAAATTAAAATGAGCATCCTGGGTGCAGGGCACAGTCCGGTGTGGAGGTGGAGTGTCCTGAGCTGTGAAATAGGAAGCCCTAGCAGACAGCAAAATTGCCCCTAAACTAGATTAGCTTGATTAGTGGAATGACCATTAAAAAGGGGAGATGATTATTAACGTATGTGAAGTAAAGAACAACGGGTCATTAACAGGCCATTGAGTCTCTTAGCTTCCTGAATAGTAATTCCAGAGCTATACCATGCTGCCCTGCCCCTGCCTCTGCCTGTAGCAGTTCTGCTGACTTGGGATAAGGGCTAGGGGACAGGGTCCCAATTTTCACATTGTCCCATACGGTCTCCCTAACTATAAAGTGGTTCTGATGAAACCCTTCTAGTATAAACCATTCCATCTCTGTACACGCTCATTTTGAGCCCTTAGAAGAGAGAAATCCTATTTCTAATCTACAGCTGAAGAATACCTAGGCTGCACTTCAGACCAGTAACCTTTTAAAAAGATAAGGACACATCTGGGGGAGAAGGGAATGTTGTTTTTTGTTTTTAACTATTTGAAGCTGCTGAAAGTAGTGGCATGTCAAAATTAGTCCCAGCAGGAATAGAGTGCAGGCAATGTAGTCAAAGGTGCATAATATATATATATATATATAAAACACACCAAATATAGCTCTACAATTTATCACTTGCATAACACCATCACATATATCATAAATCTATATACAGAATCATCCACATGAACAAACATGTCTTTTCAGGAAATTTTCTGAAGAGATTACCATTTCAGAATAGAGATTGCATTGTCATATCTTGTATCTGTTTTCCTTGCGTAATTTTGAAATATGATCTACCGGGTGGAAACTTATATCTGATCCGAGACCCATTAAAATAAATGAGGTTCCACACTGGGGCAGTTCATAATCTGTGTGTCTTTGATACGTAGGCTATATATAAACTATGCCTCATTATTCCTCTTGCTCCTTGGACTGTGAGCATACAATGTAGCATTTACAGCATTATTTACCTCTGTCCCCAAGAACATCCTGGAGCTGAAAATTTGTGATGAAGATACAGTCACCCCAGATGACCACCTCTTCACTGTTCGTTTTGACATAGCTAATATCCAGCTTGGAGGAAAAGTGTGCCTGAACTTTGAGTTGAATCCAAAGGTGAGATTGGCTGGGATAATCTAGTTGAGGATGGTCCTGCTTTGAGCAGGGGTTGGACTAGATGACCTCCTTAGGTCCCTTCCAGCCCTAATTTTCTATGATTCTATGAACCAACCTGAGCGAGGTGAAACAATGAACAATTCTAAATTTCTCTCTTAAATTGCATTGCATCTAAAAGATTATATGAGCACTCAGTCTCTCCCATATTCTCTCATTTTATTTAAAAAGCCCCTTTAAGGTTGTGAAGTCAAAAACTCAAAACTTAGGGAAAGCCAGAACTAAAGTAACCTGTGCAATCTTATTTTTCTTAACTTATAGGCATACTTTATGATTAGAGCTGGATGGGACATTGTTCTACATCCAGACAACTACAATCTTTAAAACTTTTCCTGAACAGGGAAAGAGACGCACCCTGGAATAGCCAGTAGTCCATGGAATTGGCTTCATGTTTTGTTTAAGGAAGGTACCTCTGATTCAGTACACCTTTCCAAATCTGAAATTTTGCTCTTGCTAAAGAGGAAGTGTTAGATTTCTATGGTGGCCAAACATCCTATTTCCTGAATGTTTCAGAATCTTCAAAAGCAGTGTTTTGAATATGTGTTGGGGATGAGCTGGGGCACATTGCTCAAAAAAAAGGTAATGTATTAAGGCTTCTTTCTCATGTAGCTTACTTTTGCATTTCTTGGTTTTCAGAGGTTTGTGTTTTACTGAACTCAAGGGGCACTAGACATGTAGGGTTACCATATTTCTTGTACTAAAAAAGGACATCTGTGGGCGGGAGGGGAAGGGGGTAGTGGGGAGAGGGGTATATGATTGGGGAGGGGCACTGATATGCCCATGCCCTGCCTCTGCCCCTCACTCCCAAGCCCCTGCTCCCCCAGTGCTGCTGGTGCACCACACTCCTGACCTGCAGCCCCCTGCCCTCCAGCCCTGCTGGTGCCCACCCTGCACTCCTGGCCTGCAGCTCCCTGCCTGCCCCCGCAGCCCTGCTGGTACCTCTCCCTCCCAACCTGCAGCCCCTGCCTCCCCAGACCTGCTGTCCACACAGCGCGTGCACACATACACAAACACACACATGCAAACACACACTCTGTGTCTCTTACCTGGGAGCAGTTTACTGGGGCCCGCATGCAGACCATATGACCCCTGACAGTCAATCACCTTGCCTGCTGCTTCCAGGTCCAGGCAACCAGTCTGGGAAAGCAGAGGAAAAGCAAAAACGTGGACATTTGCTCAAATTTTAAAAACCCACCCGGACACGAGGACAGGGGTCCAAAAAAGACATGTCTGGAAAAACCTGAATGTATAGTAATCCTAACAAGGACCCTTAACTTCAGGGTAATGAAGAATGTTTTCAGTGAATTTCCTGTTCAGTTGGACAGTTGCTGTTAAGATGGGCTTGCAGTTGAGCTGGTCTTGTATTTGGTTAAAACTAAAGGACACTGGCTGATTTCTGATTGTCCTGTTCTCTACTGTATGCTTTGTAATGCTGTACAGAGATGCCAGGATTAGCTCTGAATTAAATAGCTTGGGTACCAGAAGCAGGATAGTTACATTAGTATGACATTGGGCACAGACAGAAGTTATGTTTGTTGTGTGATTGGTCCCCTGAAAGTGCTCTACAGGTATGCTGTGACACGTGTGGGTAGCTGCAGAGTGCTTCAAGAGTGGCTGATTGTGTGAAAAACTAACACTCATTTGATAAGGAATCAGATGAAGGCACTCCACTTTGGAGCACCTTAGGGCACTTCTGTTCCCTAGGGTCCATCTGTGGCATGATCGGGTCTGATATAGTCCAGCCCTGACCCTGGTGCTGTCTGCAAGAAGGGCCCACTTGCAGCACACACAACCGATTTTTGTGGGCATTTTGCAGCGGCCCCATCCCTTGGTGCTGATTGGTAGAGAGGACCTGGGGGGGGCAAAGGGGGGGAGGAGGGAAGGGGGGCAGCTGCCATACCATATGTGCTGTTCCTTCCCTCGGTGCTGGCTGGCAGAGAGGCCCCAGCGGGGGAAGGAGGGATGAGGGGGTAGCTGCTGTCTTGTCTGCTGCCCTTCATGCTGCCCTGCCAACTGGCGCCTTCCCTCCCACTAGCAAGGGCTGCTGGACTCCACTGGGGAGAGAGCATTTTATTTATTTATTTATTTTTCTGTTAATTTCACAGATTTTGCAGTTTGTGCAAAATTGTGAATTAAGTAGGTCCCTAGTTATTACACAATACCTAAAGTTGCAAGTTAAAAAAAAAAAAGTTGCCACATAGATAATCAAGGGTTTGGGCAACTGAGGATATCCTGCATGTGCTGTTCTGGAGAACTTTAATAATAGGCAATGTCTCAAGCTCCAGCTGTGATAATTGGTTGCAGATATTTGTTCATTTGCATGCGTTTAAACAGCTTGCCTTAAAAGAAGGGCTGGATGATGGGAAAAGAGTGATGTGTTGCGGGTTAGGAAAACTTAGTTATTCCTTGTTACAACACTGACTCACTGAGTCACGGCTTAAGCCAAATCCTCATATCGCTTTTTATCTGAGTTTCCCTATCTCTAACACTGAGATAGGCATAGCCTACCTCATAGATTCATATAAGTAAAAAACCATTATTCTGTGTGTGCATGCACTAAGATGCTAAGATGATGGACATGTCAGAAGAGCATAAGAATAGACGCACGTTACAGGTCAGGTTCTGACACTTTTAGGCACATACATTTTCAGGCTAGGCCTTGTGTTTCTTAGACTTGTCATGAAGGCTAAACTCTGGTGTACAGTTGGAATAAAAAGAGAGTTAATAAAAAAAAGTTAGTCTGTTAGTCTCTCTGGTCTGAGACCTGCAGACCTGCTTATGGCAACTAATTCATAGTTTTACTTTATGTTCAAAATGAGTAGCATAGCTATTGCTAGAGGTAAGTGAGAAGAGCATTTTCCCTGGTGCTAAGTTAGGAAGGGTGCCAAAATTCCCCTCCTTTCCTGCATAAAGGGGAGGAAGGAGGACCCGGGAAACTATAGGCCAGTCAGTCTTACCTCGATCCTGGGCAAACTGTTCGAGAAAATTATTCTGGCACACATCCAGGAGGGGCCAGCAGGGAAATGCATGCTCAGGGGCAACCAGCACGGGTTCATCAGCGGCAGGTCATGTCAGACCAACCTGGTGGCCTTCTACGATCAGGTCACTAAATCATTGGATGCAGGGGTAGCAGTGGATATAGTCTTCCTGGACTTCCGGAAGGCTTTCGACACTGTCTCTCACCCCGTTCTCATTAGGCAACTGGGGGACTGTGGCGTAGACACCCACACAGTCCAATGGGTTGCCAACTGGCTAGAGAGCCGCACCCAGAGGGTGGTAGTGGATGGGTCCTTCTCGGCCTGGAAGGACGTGGGCAGTGGGGTCCCGCAGGGCTCGGTCCTCAGGCCCGCCCTGTTCAACATCTTCATCAGTGATTTGGATGAGGGGGTGCAAAGCACCCTGTTCAAATTTGCTGATGACACCAAGATGTGGGGGGTGTGGGCACAATAGAAGGGAGCAACAGGCTACAGTCGGACCGTGACAGGTTACAAGGATGGGCGGAGGAGAACAGGATGGGGTTCAACACAGACAAGTGCAAGGTGATGCACCTGGGGAGGAACAACCAGCACCATACCTACAGGCTGGGGAACTCCCCTCTAGTCAGCACGGAGGTGGAAAAGGATCTTGGAGTCATTATTGACTCCAAGATGAACATGGCTCGGCAGTGTGGGGAGGCGGCTAGGAAGGCCAACTGTACCTTGTCGTGCATCCACAGATGCATTTCAAGCAGGACCAAGGAGGTGATCCTCCCCCTCTATGCGGCACTGGTCAGGCCGCAGCTGGAGTACTGCATCCAGTTCTGGGAGCTGCACTTTAAGAGGGATGTGGACAGCATTGAGAGGGTCCAGAGGAGGGCCACTCACATGATCAAGGGACAGCAGGGCAGGTCCTATGAGGAAAGGTTACGGGACCTGAACCTGTTCAGCCTCCAGAAGAGAAGGCTGAAGGGGGATCTTGTGGCCTGCTATAAACTAGTCAGGGGGGATCAACAGGCACTGGGGGAGTCCCTGCTCCCCCGAGCGCCACCAGGAGTGACCAGGAATAACGGTCACAAGCTGGCGGAGGGAAGGTTTAAGTTGGACATCAGGAGGCGCTACTTCACGGTCAGGGCGGCTAGGGTCTGGAACCAGCTTCCAAGTGAGGTGATGCAGGCTCCCACCCTGGGGGTTTTTAAGAGGAGGTTAGATGACCATCTTGCTGGGGTCGTTTGACCCCAGTACTCTTTCCTGCCATGGCAGGGGGTCGGACTAGATGATCTGCCCAGGTCCCTTCTAACTCTAGAAACTATGAAACTATATTCTGGCAGCAGGAGCAGCCCCACAGTTTACCCATGCTGGGAACTCCAAAACAGTCCCAGGCTGCTGGCGCTGCTGCTTTAAGAGCAATGGCTAGGGTTGGCAGAGGAGGTGGGGTTGGCAGAGGAGGTGGCAGAAGCAGCTTATCTGGGAACTGTTTAGTAATTCCATGCATGGGTAAATTCTGCTTGTTATACTTCTGTTAAAAAATATACAGATTTCCATTTGAAGAAAACTGTGTTAACACAAGATAGTTACGTTAACACAGTGTTCCATCCTGCTAATTATTCCATTCCAATGACAAAGCCCTTGTTTTGGAAAACTGTCTTCTTCCCCATCCTGGTCCTTCAATCCCTCTTGTTAGTTTTATTTAGGGTGTCTACTTTCTAAGATTTTGCTGTAGAGCATTCCACGCACCACCAGCTGAGCTTTTTTTGGCAGAATGCCTACTGCAAAGAAACTTTTTTGCTCTTTTTCAAAATACTCCCCTGCTCCATCCAGGATCTGCCCTTCTTCAAGCTCCCCATTTAGTCAGCTGTTGTAGGAAAAGGTCCTGTTGTGGCAACATCTCACTGCTTAAGCATTTCTCCAACATAATTTGCATTGCCCATTGCAACTTGTAAGACTGTGTTCTTCTTAAACAGCAAACAAGTGCCAATCGCAAGGAGTGATTTCCAACTTTTGAGCCTTGTACAAATGAATTTTCAAAAGCTGCATTCCCCTCTTCCTCTCAGTTGCAGCCTGTTGGTAAAACCCTGGTACTCCTCAGCATAGCTCATGCACATAGGAACAGTCTGTTCTATGCTTGTCCTTGTGCTCTTCTCCCACACAGATCTAGTGAAGCCTGGAGAAAGCCAAAGGTTATAGGTCCCCTGTTGCAAACTTTTAGAGAATTTTTGTTTGTCACTTTTGATATCCAATTGACAAATTTATTAGGGCCAGATACAAACATTGTATTTTTACTGGTATAGATAATCAGAATCCAGTCTATATCCATAACAGAACAGAAGTTTGGTGCACACAGACTGGTTTAAAAATGGGAGAACTCAGTTTAAGATTTGCACCCCACCCCACAAGGGTGATTGTGTGTTCTCTTCACTACCAATCTAAACTACTCCTCTTATAGAAAACTGTATAACTTAGATTGATTCCGCCTTGGGCTTTTTGACTGTCTGTACCTAGCCTAGAGTTCTATTTTCTGCAATAGAATGAACACTTCTAAATAGTGCCAGTCTGGAAAAAGAGTCAATTAACAGGACTGTCTCTAAGAGAGAAGGTTTATTGCATGATTTTGTTAATTTCCTTCTTTTCATTCTCAGACCCAGGAAGAGCTGGAAGTGGAGTTTGCACTGGAAAATATGTAAGCAAAAATAAAATGTTATATAATCTGTCATTGCAAGAGGCTGTTTGGTGAGATGGAACCAGTGATACAGAAGGGGCCCTGTATGCCTGCCACATCCTTAGATTCTCCCCACTCCTCTCCCTCTAATGACTCATTTTCCAATTAATCCAGACTGGAATGATATACATAACTGATTTTGAGGTGAATGTGGCTATTTATTTTATAATCCAGTCGAAAGAGAGACGAAAAAGGTAAACAAAGACAAAATTGATTGAAGGAGTTGAGAATGTGAGGTTATTTTGGAGACAGACTGAGCATGAGAAGATGGGTGCAGAGGCAGGTAGTGACACAAGACCAAAGTGAAGGAAAGGAGTGGCTAGAAAGGCTGATGTAGAAAGATTGAGAACAAAAGTGAGCAAGACAAAAATCAAGCAAAAATTTACCTGTGCTTCTGTAAATCAGTTTTGAAATACTTGTATGTCTCTTTTTGTTTTTCAGTTCAGCTGTTCCTGAAAACACTGTTACTAATGGAGTATTAGTGGTAACTTGTATTTTCTATGCTAATCTCTGCATTACATATCAATACTCATGGTTCAGCTAGAATTAGAGGGGGAGTGAATGACCCCATATGCAGAACTCTTAACCACTTTTTTCTGTTGAGATGCATGCTGAAATCAGAAGTTTTGAACTTCTTGACAGTCCGCAGACCCACACAATTTTCATGTTGTGAAAGCCTTGGGCTGGAAGAGATGCGAAATTACCCAAACCCTCCACTTTTCTGACATGCTTGCTGATCAAAGGAAAGGAAAGGAAGTAACATTTGAAGCAATTATGTTACATTATTTCAGTCTCTCTTGTTGGGGGATGCTGTAATAAGAATATTAAAGCTGAAAGCACTTTCACATCCCCTTCAAAGTCCTGTATTGTTGAATAATGACAATTAGTGAAACACAGTGATGAGCTTCAGCTCCCAATCTAGTTGCCTTTTAATATGGCACAGCCCTCAACCTTTTACCTAAGGACCACATAACAATTACTGGTGTCCTACATTGTCACTTTTTGGCAAAAAAAATTTAAAGTATAGATTCATAGATTCATAGATGTTAGGGTTGGAAGGGACCTCAATAGATCATCGAGTCCGACCCCCTGCATAGGCAG